CGCACCCGGCCCCGCCTGCCCCCTGCAGGCTCCTTGGACTCGGTGCCCCGTCTCATTTCACCCTCTCTTATCTCTCCGCAGATAAAAACAGACGCGGTTCCACAGTTCTCGGCAGAGGTGAGCCCGGGTCGGGAGGGCTCCCGGGAGTAGGAGGCTCCTGCCCTGGACCCGGAGACCACCAGCCAGCCCTGGGCTGGCCTGTGCACTGCAGGAGCGGGAGGGGAGGGGAGGGGAGGGGAGGCTGGCCCCCAGGGGAGTCTGCAGGCCTCCATACCAGCCTGAGGACTGGGGTCTACCCCCCAAGGAGTCTGGGGCCAAGGAGAAGCGCAGTGCCATGCTGATGTTTGTGCTCAGAGATAACCCGCAGAAGCCCACCCCAGCCACCAGCCGTGAGAAGTTCGCCGCGGGACCCAGGACCACTCCGTGCCTCCAGCCCCCGCCTCCTCCTGCCCCCGCCCCTGTCACTGATTCTTACCCATCCCAATAAATGCTTCCTGACAGACCTTCCTGGGCCTGTGCAGACACACGCCCTCCCGTGATTTGCCACACTTGTGGCACGGGTGAGACAATGCGTCCCTGCCTCTCCATTTGTCTTTTCTGGACACCCATAGGGATCGCAAACCTCGGGGTGCGCAGAACTATGTGTGGGCCCTGGAAGCGTCCGGGACTAACAGCTCCAACCAGTAAAACAGCCCTGACTTGAGTCTCGATGCCAACACAGAGCTGCGTGCCCGGGCGTGCCGGGAAGACCTAGGTTCGCGCCGCGCCAGCCCGCCAGCGCCCCCTCTGCGCCGCGGCGGAGCTCCCCTCCCCAGCGCCTGCGGTCGGCGCGGGACAGCCCCGCCTTCCTAGCCGCCCCGCCCCTCCCGCATCCCCGCACCTCCAGGCGCCTCGGGCCCTGAAGCCCAGGGCCCAGGTCAATGCAGCGACCCCTGGTAAAGCCCACCCGTCCAACAACCCCACACGACCCGACCCCCGGAGGCCGCCAGCGTCCCACACCTTGAGACGCGCGTGGGCTTCGGCGGCGGGCAGCAGGCGGTGGCCGCGGTGCGAGCCCAGCGAGGCGCACACGCCGCACACGAGCGCGCGGTCCTGCTCGCAGTAGATGCTGAGCGGGTCCAGGTGTTCCTCGCAGTGGCCCTGCGGCACCTGTGCCAGCCCCTCCACCAGGCGCGCCAGCTGCAGGTTGGTGCTGAGCGCCTGCGGCCGCGTGGGC